AATTTTAGATAAAATGTTTAATCTACAGAGTAGTATATTTATCTTTTGAAACGCAAAATATACTTGACATTTATATTCAAAATATTCTAATCTTACAAGAATCCAGCAATGTCAATTATATTATCTAACTTTAATCTGAGGTATTATTTAATACAAAATGTTAAAATCTAAATTTTCTTAACCTTTCTCTTGAAGGGAAGTGGTGGGGGGTGGGGGGAGGTTAGGACTGACACGCTGCGGTTGGAAGAGGTGGGAGGCAAGGTGAAATTTACTTTTGATTTGACGAATAGTGTAGTGAATTTTTTTTTTATTAACTGAAGATATTTGTTTAGCCTCATAAAATTCATACAAATTACCGGCCGGAATATAATTTACATTGCTGGAATTTGTACAGGTAGTGATCATTTTTGAATATAAACATCATATATTTTGCATTAGACATACAAATTTTAGATAAAAGAATTTTTCTCTGGAGTAACTATGTTATCTTTTGTGCAAAATATATGAAGCATTTTCTATATTCAAGTATTCCTAATAAATACAAGGAATCCAGCAATGTCAATTTTCATTATCTACTTTTAGTTTGAGGTATTATTTATTAAAATTTGATTGGTTTCCCCCAAAATTTCTCAGAGAAGAGCCGGCAGTGTAGTGTGTGAGAGGGGGAGGTTAGTCCATTATTTGAATGGACATTAACTTGTGACTGTATTTCTCTATTTCTCTTAAAGTGATAGTGTATTGCATGTACCATCCATAAAATTAAGATATTATTTACTACAACATAGTTATGTCTTCAAAGTAGAGTTGGGGGAGTCGGGCGGTTTTATTGGAATTAATCACTTATGTTCTGTTATTCACTGTAGCAGTCTGAGACCTCTGAGATATTTTAGCATTAGAGGCCTGTATGTATATATATATATATATATATATATATATATATATATATATATATATATATATATATATATATATATATATATATATATATATAACATACATATACACTATACACAGTAGTACCCGCTTGCTGCGGTCAAAATAAAACCCACGGGGTACCGTGTTAAGTGAAAACTTAGTGCTAGTGAGACAGCAGGAACATATGGGATTAATTCAATAGAAACTGGCCCGACTCCCCAAACTCACTTTTCTGACACAATACCTATGTTCTAGTAAAAATAACATCTTAATTTTTATGATGTACATGCACACAATTAATACTTAAGAGAAATAAGAGAAGCCACATTCATAGGATTAATGTCCATTCAAATAATGGACTCCTCCCTCCCCTCTTCTCACACAACCTGCTGGCTCTTCCCTGTCTGAAATTTGAGGGAAAACCACTAAATTTTAATAAATAATGCCTCAAACTAAAGGTTAGAGATAATACAATTGACATTTATGGATTCCTTGTAAGACCAGGAATATTTTGAATATAAATGTCATATATTTATTTTGCACAAAAGATAACATATTTACTCCAGGTAAACGATACAATCTAAAATTTAACATGTCTAATGCAAAATCTATGATGATTTATATTCAAAATGATCGCAAATTGTAAGAATTCCCTTAATGTAAATTATATTCTGACCAGGTATTTTGTATGAATTTTTATGAAGCTAAAAATATCTTCAGTTAATAAAAAAAAAAATATTCTTCACCGTGTAACAGATGGTGCGATCGGTCCCTCCTCCCCCCACCCCACCAACCGTCCCTACCAGATGTGTGGAAAAACCAGTATTTACCTTTTGGCTAATAAATAATACCTCAAACTAAAGTTAGGATTATATAATTGACATTGCTGGATTCCTTGTAAGACCAGGAATATTTTGAATACAAAATGTCATATATTTTTACGCACAAAAATATACATGGCACTCAAGAGTAAAGCATTATATCTAAAATTTGTATGTCTAATGCAAATCTATGATGTTTATATTCAAAATAATCATCATATTGTAAAAATTCAATGTAAATTATATTCTGGCGGGTAATTTTGTATGAATTTTATACAGAAGCTAAAACAGGCAGGCAGGCAGTCAGGCAGGAGTGGCGTGTAAAATGAGAATCTAAAAACATCTTTCTCAGGCAGGACACTCTCGCGGCGTATCACGTGGAAAAAACCCGCGTTAAGTGAAAGTTCAGCTCTGGCGAAACACCGGCGTATACGTGTCGGCTAAAAAGCGAAACCGTGTGTGAGGTATTACTGTGTGTGTGTGTGTGTGTGTGTGTGTATATATATATATATATATATATATATATATATATATATATATATATATATATATATATATATATATATATATATATATATATATATATATATATATATATATATATATATATATATATATATATATATATATATATATATATATATATATATACACACAGTAGTACCCGCTTAGCAGCTTTCATAGCAGCGTTTTTATCATATCTGTGATGCCTTTACTTAGCTGAACTTTTCATAGCAGCGGCATTTTCATCATATCACCTTGGTGAGAATTATCCGGCATTCAAAGTCTCCGGCTCAGTATTTTTGATTCGCTTTCACCCCCACCCCGCCACCCCTGCCTGACTGCCTGTTTAGCTCATAAAATTTAAGCACAAATTACCCAGCAGAATATAATTTACATTTAGCAGATTCTTATAATTTGTTGATCATTTTGAATATAAACAACATATATTTTTGCATTAAACATACAATTTTTAGATAAAATTGTTCTCCTAGGTAATTATGTTATCTTTTGTCAAAATATATGACATTTATGTTAAAATATTCCTAGTCTTTAAGGAATCCGGCAATGTCAATTATATTATCTAACTTTTAGTTTGAGAGTATTATTTATTAAATTTAGTGGTTATCCACACATCTCCTTGGGGCCAGTTGGTGAGGTGGGGGGAGGGAGGGACCGACGACGGACCATCTATTTACCCCGTGAAAATTATTTTTTTATTAACTGAAGATATTTGTTTTAGCTCATAAAATTCATACAAATTACGGTCAGAATATAATTTACATTGCTGGAATTCTTATAATTTGGTGATCATTTTTGAATATAAACAGTCAGAATATAATTTACATTGCTGAATTTTTATAATTGTGATCATTTTGAATATAAACAATATATATTTTGCATTAAACATACAATTTTTAGATAAAATTGTTTTCTAGGTAATTATGTTATCTTTTGTCCAAAATATATGACATTTATATTCAAAATATTCCTGGTCTTACAAGGAATCCAGCAATGTCAATTATATTATCCTAACTTTAATCTGAGGTATTATTTAATACTAAATGTTAAAAACTCTTGAATGGAGGATTGGTGGGGGTGGGGGAGGGTTGGACTGACCACGCGGTTGGAAGAGGGGGAAGGCAAGGTGGGTAATTTTGATTGACAGATAGTGTCGAAGAATATTTTTTATTAACTGAAGATATTTGTTTTAGCTCATAAAATTCATACAAATTATCCGCCAGAATATAATTTACATTGCTGGAATTCTTACAATTTGCTGATCATTTTGAATATAAACATCATAGATTTTGCATTAGACATACAAATTTTAGATGTAAAGTTTATTCTGAGTAAATATGTTATCTTTTGTGAAAATATATGACATTTATATTCAAAATATTCCTGGTCTTACAAGGAATCCAGCAATGTCAATTATATTATCCTAACTTTAGTTTGAGGAATTATTTATTACTATACCTGGTTTCCCCAAAAATTTCTCAGAGGGAAGAGCCAGTGAGTGTAGTGTGAGAAGAGGGGAGGGAGTTGAGTCCATTATTTGAATGGACATTAACTTGGCGACTGTATTTCTATTTCTCTTAAGTATTAATTGTGTGCATGTACCATCATAAAATTAAGATGTTATTTTTACTACAACATAGTTATTTGTCAGCCAAAAGTGGAGTTTGGGGTCGGCTGGGTTCTATTGAATTAATCCCATATGTTCTGTTATTCACTTAACGGCTTTCACTTAACACGACCCTCTGGGTTCAATTGACCGCCATATGTAAGTACTACATACTATACTATACTATACTATACTATAATATACTATACTATACTATAACTATACTATACTATACTATACTATACTATACTATACTTGTACTATACATACTATACTGTACTTGTGTAATTATACTATACTATACTATACTATACTATACTATACTATACTATACTATACTATACTATACTATACCATACCATACCATACCATACTATACCATACTATACTATACCATACCATACCATACTATACCATACTATACTATACTATACCATACCATACCATACTATACTATACTATACCATACCATACTATACCATACTATACTATACCATACCATACCATACTATACTATACTATACAATACCATACAATACCATACCATACCATACTATACCATACTATACTATACTATACCATACCATACTATACCATACTATACCATACCATACTATACCATACTATACTATACTATACTATACCATACTATACCATACTATACTATACTATACCATACTTATACTTGTACTTATAATTATATTTTGCTACCATACTATACTCATACATAATTTGTACTTGTTTTATATTTATACTATACTATACTATACTTGTACTATACTATATTATACTATACTATACTATACTTGTACTATACTATACTATACTATACTATACTATACTATACTATACTATACTATACTATACTATACTATACTATACTATACTATACTATACTATACTATACTTGTACTATACTATACTATACTATACTATACTATACTATACTATACTATACTATACTATACTATACTATACTATACTATACTATACTATACTTGTACTATACTTGTACTATACTATACTATACTATATATTGTATACTGTAGGTGAATGAGATTATGTTTAACTTATGGAAAAATACATCATCTCAACCATTCACAAATAAGACATTTCATCTGGTGGTCTCTCAACAGGAGTGTGGGTGTTGGTAACGATTCTCCCCAGTCTGTTGGCGGTGTTGTCACCCAGACAACGTCCAGTGGGTACCAGGGACTACATAGGTTGGGGCATCTGGGCTATGGGCTTCCTGATTGAAGTCGTGGCAGACTACCAGAAGACAGTGTTCAAAAACAACCCCGCTAATAAGGTGAGTTTTAACTAATTACTCACCAAGAAAATAACTAAAGGTAGGACAACTGCAATAATTTGATTATTTGGAGAGAATTGTTAATGAATCTGTGATGTTGCCTACTTGACACACCCTACCTTTGGCTGCTGACCGCCCACCACGCTGTACCTGTTAGAAAAGAATTACTGTATGTACTGTACCTCTTTACTCATCCACTTTTGTTATGCCATGAGAGATGTGTTGTCAGAATGTTACAACATCCAAAGTTTATCAGAAAAATAATCACAAATGTTTAGCTTTTTTTTTATTTTTTTTTTTTTTTTATTTATTTATTGGGCACACCCCTACATCCTTGTGTAAGGTGAAGCGCAGAAGCATTTACAGCGCCCAACAGGGAAGCATGCTAAGTTCATGCTTGCCTTTATGTCTCACGAATTAAGGGCGTAGAAGCCTGAAGAGTCAAGGGCGTAGAAGCCTGAAGAGTCAATGGTTTATGTCATCAAGTTATTGGAAGCTCCAACAACTTTCCCTGAATACGAATTCGCAATTTTCGATTTACACCAGGTACCTACTGTACTGCTAGGTGAACAGGGACCAAGAGGGCTAGGAAGTAAGTCCAAACAACTTCCACCTGAGGAGTTAGAGAAGTTAGTGATAATTAAATGAATAAAAAATATAATTATAGAGAAATTTCTGACCAACTAGTGTAGTAATTCCCTGGTAGCCAGAATAATTGGTGCAGAGCCATTCCAGCTTTGAGAGGTTTCTAGGTATTGAGACACATTTTATCATTCCCCCCAAAATTGCACATCCCCAAAAATTTTACAGGAACAGGTGAATGTTTTGAGGATGGACTGCAGTCAGACAGACACACAGCTGTATTTATTTATACAAACATTACTGCACAATATTTTGTAATCAAAATATACTACAGTAAACCCTTGCCATTCACGGTTTTACATCACAGTTTTGACTATTTGTGGTTCATTACCTAAAAAAAAAAATAAACAAAAAAGTTATTGGTTGCAGATACAAAAAAGTACTGTACAGTAAACCCTCACTTTACGCGGTTAATTCAACCCACGGCGGCCCGCGTAAAGTGAGAAACGCTTAAAATGAACAACATAACATGGGATTAATTGAAATAGAGACCGGGCCGACCCCCAAACTCCACTTTTTCAGACACAATACCTACGTTGTAGTAAAAATAACTTCTTAATTTTATGATGGTATGCACACACAATTAATAATTAAGAGAAATATCAATAATATTAGGTTTTTTAACACTTACATTAGTAGAAAAGATGGCTGGGCACACGGGGATGGGGGGTTGGTTCCGAGGCGGAGGTCAGATTATTGGCCCTCACTTGTATCACTTGTATCAATTGTATCACTATCCACCACAGAGGCTTGCAGGGCCTCTTTGTCAAACCCCTCAAAGTCCATATAGGTCCATATCCTCACTATCATTATCACTGACTTAGGCCGGCTATGGTGGGTGGCGGGTGAAGAACTCGGTAATATTTTGATGACTGGGCGACCTTGTGCGCACCCTGCTCGCGCCGCTCTCCGCATAAAAGGGTACACACACCGCGGAAAGTGAGCATTCCGGTTTCGGCAGGGTACCGCGTAAACGTGGAAACGCGTAAACGTGGAAACGCGTAAAGTGGGACCGCGTAAAGCGAGGGTTGACTGTAGTTATATGTTACATAAACAGCTCCTTCTCTTCACATATCATTCTCTGGGTGACATAATGAGTGTGTTGTACAACCTGTCCCAAGACCCAGTACTGAACCATTTTCTCACTTACTGACAGTACACACAAATAATACATCAATATTCTGTACATTAATATAATTCAATAGAAATACAGTACTGTATGACTACTGTACTTGCTAATACACGCTGGTTTTCATATAGACTGGAGGATGAGGTGGCCTTTGAGATGGTATTTATAAATCTTTATAATGATTTTTTTATAGGGTAAGCAGTGCTGTACTGTACTTTCCCTGCTCTGCTCTTTAACAATAGTGCAATACTTCATATTGGCCACTGCACTAACCTTTTTATAACAATGCCTTTTGAAATATCCTGTTGTTGTAAGCCAGAGTATATATGAGGCACACAGAACTGAAGTTGGACAAGCTCCATAAAATTAAAAACAAAGAAAAATGCAGTTAAAAATTTGTTAACTTTCAAATTACCAAAACTTTGAAACCAGTGAAGAAATTTAAGTGATTCATGTGGCAGATTGTAGCATTGTTATTGTATAATTAAATAGTAACAGGAAAGACTTCATACTTATTGTTTTCATGCACACCGGTGTTTGTCCTAATTGGGTTCTGTGCGCCTCATATATGTGAGTGTTTGTATTGTTGTGTGGACACTTAAAGTAGTTACCTGTTAATTAATAGTAAAATTCATCCTGGTGGTTCCTTGTCTGTCTTTTTTTTTCTGACATTTATTTATTTTTTAGTACACATAATTGATCATTCCACCAGAACATCATTAAACTACAGCCACTCAACAATGTTTTTAAACTATTATTTAAATTAGTTAGTCAACCTTGTGCTCACCATATATTTATCTATTAGCCATCTATTGTATTAATCTATTTCTTTCTTTTGTCAACTTGTATTTCTTTTAAGTTTCTGCTGATTAACTCTCTAGTCGCCACCATGTAAGGGGTTGTCTAACACATGTTGCTGACCTATAAGTGATACTCCTACTAGAGTGACACCTATTACCTGTGTATATATTCTTTATTTATTTGAAGTTCATATCGTTATTATAATACTACAATTGTATTTATTTACTAGGACAAGTTTATAAACACTGGGCTGTGGGCTCTGTCACGCCATCCTAACTATTTTGGTGAGATCCTGCTGTGGTTTGGGCTTTACGTCAGTGCTTCCTCAACATTCTCTGGCTGGGAATATCTTACGAGTAAGTTAAGTAAACAGTGTTTTATATCTCGTCAATAGTTGAGGCTGTAGTATAGAAAATTGTGTACTTATAGATTATTCCTCTCATGATCTCAATACTGGGACTCACTGATCCCCCCCCGACTTAAAATATAACCAAAGCTGACATAATTTACACCTTATGCTAACCTAGTCTAAGCCTAACTTATCCCACAGCTTGAGTAATATAATCTCCTCCAAGTATAACTTATTTAATCCCTAACCCAAGGATACCTGTATCATACTCAAACTGATATTTTTCCCAATATCTCTGAATATAAAATACAGTATTAGTATCAAAGGCAATTTATTATAAATACAGTACAGTAAGGTCCCACTTAGTGAATAACCAGCTCATGAGAATTTGGTTTAATGACTTTCATGTTTTAGGGAATGAAAATTTGACTGTTAAACTTGTATTGAATTTAATGAGCAATTTAGCAATTTTTCCTTAAATACCTTTCACATGATTGTCCTTTTCTAAACTCATATTGTCACATACCAGTAAGTTTATGATCATCTTGTCTGTGTTGTGTACATCTTAACCCATACACATACATATTGTATACACCTGTAACCCACAAACTTCTGTGTTTACAGTAATCCCTGCCAAATTTTAGCAACAGTACTTAAGAGTACGAAGGTAAAGTCATGTTTAATGTAGAAATATTGTAAACTATATAAACACAACTAAATCAACATGAATGGTATGTGGTGAGAAGCAGCTCTGTTAGTGGGTGAGAGAGACTTACTCAGTGTTTTATCAACAGGGTTACGACGGTAGATATAACCACATTTTACTGAAACTTTAAATTCTGAAGATTGCAGGAGTAAAATTATGTTTACTATAAAAATATCTAAAGAATGCAAGAGGCAGAAAGTGGTGGTGGCAGTGGCTGGCAGTGGTCTTGCTGTATCAGTGAGGGAATGGCAGGCAACCTGTCCAGTACACTTTTTCAGCAGTTGTTTTCTGTTCCACCACTGCTCTGCCAACACAAGCATCGTAATCTTTATTTTGGGCAACTACAACCAGTTTACATTTTACACTATGATATGATTGTTCAAGTTTATTATTGTTAGGTTGGGATTTGGGGTCGAAATTCTTTGGGCCTGTGTACATCTTGACCATTACTATGCAATGTCATGGTAAACTGGATCCTGTTTAGCAAGAATTCACCTCTCAAACACCTTATCAAGAACACAAGTTGTTTATTAAGTAGAACCTTACTGTATTTTTGTCACCTCCTAAATTTGAAATAACAATAAAAAACAATATTTTCTCTTCATCAGTTCTGTGCCCCCTCATGGATTATCTGCTCATCACACAAGTTTCTGGGATTCCCATGTTGGAGAGTTATGGTCGTAAGAAGTGGGGTTTGTCTCCACAGTATCAGGCGTACATCAGGAACACTCCAATTCTCATACCTTTCCTTGGCTAGTATGTGAAGTACATACCTAGCTCTCGGGTCTTTTACTGGCTGCTTCTGTACAGGCCCATTCACTAATGCGTTTACAGGGGCTCGTCAGGTTTTGGCAGTAGCCGTGTTTGTTTACATTTGACAAAGAAACTCTCAATAGTAAACATACTATGGAATCAAATTAAAACAAATATCTCAAAGATGATGATTTGTGGAATGTTTATATGACTAGCCCAGTAAACACACTAGTGAAGGGGACTTTACATAATAACTGCACGTGGGAATCATCTGTCACTAGTTAATGGATTTTTTGTTCTTCCAGTGTCATTAGTTAGTGTTGATTAGGTCAACAGAAATATGTCTCAGGAACTATGTAGGGAAATTTATTAAACAAAAAATTATGAGTGAAATGTGTTTATTTAAAGGATGGAATTTAAAAAAAAAAGATGTGTATGTTTCACTGTAGAACATTAATAATTCCGACTAAGGAAAAGAGGTTTCTGATTTTTTTTCCCAGTACTATGATGTATTTTAAAACCCTTGTGGCTAATGATCACCAAAACAGTCCCATCTCATTGAAATTATACAGCTGGTGAATGCTGAGCCTATTGCTGTTTATAATACTGTACTTTGGAGAATAGCACACAGGGATGCCATTGTGTTTCTGTTAGTACTCAGGGGGTTACCACTCATCTTGTGGTTGAGTACCTGGTGCTGGCAGGAGTGATATATATATCCAGCCTCTGCTACCTGTAAATTATACCTGAAATGCCTGACTTAACAGCACTCTGGAGTTCAACTCTGTGTAGGCACATATTCAGCCAGCTAATAGCACTTCATCACAGTGGCTCCATCTTCCCTTTGTTCATATTTTCTTGAGAGGAAACACAATTTCCTTGTTCATTAGCAGACACTTGTCTTGTCTATATTCTTAATAATGTCATAGACTAAGCTTTTCTTCACACCATATTCTTATTGTATTTTCTGCACTTTTTTATCATGCTCAGAAAATTCAATAATTACTGTACTACTTTTTGTACAAAACTAACCTACTACTTGGCACCTTGATGGGACTTTGAGCCACTATTACATTACAGTTGGATATCCATTTTAAAACACCAAGTACAGAGAACACAGCAACTTGTGCACAATGGGGGACATATAATGGACCGAGGGACCCTACATGGTGAGTTGCTGACCCAAGTAATTTATGTCCACCACCTTCACCAAAGCAGGGGCCAGTGAGCCACACACTCACACCCTACAGCTAATGTAGCACTTCCCAATCCCTAAGTGAGTCCTGTGATGCCCCATACTATAGGGGTATGTGTTGAATGTTTAAAATTTGATAAATTTATCAGATCTTTCAGAATTATGCGAGCTATCTCAAATTTCTGAGAGCTCACCCCCATCAAAGCAAGTGGTGGCAGTGATCATTAACTATGATATGACTGTATCTGATTTAGACAAAAGGTGTCCAACCAAGGCAGACATTGTCCAACTTTTCAGGGGTTTTGAAGGTCTAATGTCCGAACTATTGATGTTTTACTCTTCTCTACTTGTTATTTTATTTCAAATTATCACTGATAAAGTTTTTATAACAGAAATTATCTTTAAAATATGTAACAATGATATTCATTTTACAATAAATTGGAGCCTTTAGTTATGGTAATTTGTAAGTTATATTATTAATGCTTGTTCCTCTCAGGTTATCTAGGTTTACTTGATGATTGTTGAAGGTACAGTGGAGTCGTGATAATTTGTGAAATACTAATTCACATTCTTAATTTCTCGGGTACCTCTGTTGTCATAATATTGTTACGACCATTCATCGCTTACCCAGCTTCCACCACTGGTTACCAGCAGCCAGGGTCGTATGTACAGAAGCAGTAGATATCTCACAAGAGTTGTTGAATTACCACTGGCTGTCCCTCCAGTCTCCGGTAATTTCCCGACGATTGGTATCAGTGTACAGACAAGCAACAGGCAGGTAGATTTCCACCAGGTCACAGAAACACTCTTGTGCACTGTAGTCTTCTTTAATAAACAGTAATTCTTCACAACACTGGAACAGGGTAATGTCCTCACAGCTGGACTCCACACTTCTAATATATAGTCAGCACACTGCCAATGTATAATTCCTTAGTCTTCTCACTTTATATTAATCACAACAATTCCACAATACTTGTACAACAATTGTCTTCAGTTGTTCTGTTAGGCTTAGTCTTTACACCATGAACAGAAGAGATTGACTAACCCCTAGGCAGCCCACGACTGTTTATGTACGCCTCTTCAGACGCTTCATGAACATCCTAGAATAACCCAGAGATGCCTGGGAGATTCTAGAACGTTCTATTCTGATTGAGTCTTACAATAATAAGTATATCATAACAAAAATGATGCAATACATTCCAGAAAATTCTTGCGTAATTAATACATAAATATAGACACGAAAGTTTTGCGAAAATAACTGTTGGTTGGGATAGAAAATAATCAACACCTGGTTCACAAAAACTATAATACTAAAGTAAGCCTCGGCATGACAGTATTATGACTATGCCTCAACAACTGAAGACTTTAAACACATAACACGGTTAGTGATTACACTTTTACATCACCAATTAAAATTATGAGAGATAAAACTCTAGGATGGGTACAGGACCTCTATTACTACCTGGCTGCCGTAGGGTTTATTTACACAAGAAACCACAAAAGTTGTGGATATATCATTTTAATGTTCTAATGTAAATACAGTGGTCCCTCGGTTAACGAACGCCTCGGTTAACGAATTACCTTCCATAAGAATCTTCAATTCGGTTAACGAACAAACATTTGATAAACGAAATCCTTACGAAAATCACGTTTTGTTGTGAGCATCAGCTGGTCAGCTGATGGCCCAGTCTGCCAATTCAGTAATCTGTTCTAAGTTTAAATTCGTTTCCAATGGACTAAATATCAATAAATTTCAACTTTTTAATATTTTTTTATGTTTTATATTAAAATTATTAACCATTTTAACATTTATTTAACATATTGATAATATTATATGCAGTACTCCCTGTACAGGTTCAATCTGGCTTTGTTTACTGTCAAGAGAGCAGCCATTTTGTTGGTGTCTTGAATATTTTTGCATTTTTCATTAAAATTATTGGTCATTCTGAACTTTAGTTAACATATAGATAATATATAGCGCAGTGCAGTGTTGATTTAAATAAAATAATCTTGAATTACACCAAGTGAACTTAAAATTTTATTGGGTCCCCTGAAAGGTAATTTCTCCTCCACCCCCACTTCCTTCTCTTCTCCCTTCTCCTCCACCCCCACTTCTAATTCCCATCATCATCATCATCAACCAGGAGCCTTCTACATACACACCTCAAAGTAAGTGTACTTTACTGCATTTTTTTTTTTTTTACTTTGTATGTACTTTTCGGTGAGCTGGAACCAATTACCCAATATCCCATTGAAACAATGGTTTTGGTTAACAAAATTTTCGGTTAACGAACGACCTTCTGGAACGAATTGTGTTCGTTAACTGAGGGACCACTGTATTGTATACAGTAAAAGTCCCAAAATTCGGATGCCAGGAATCCGGACCACCCTAAAATCCGGACTTTTCAAAAACTCAAACTTTTTAAATTTAGCGGGCTTTTGTGGGTTATGTGAATGAATGGAGTTGCTTTAAAAAATTAATTTACATAATTCTAATAATAAAAGTAATTGTAAATTATAGGTAGCTAATTTTGTTAGTTTTGTAATTAGCTTGAACTGAAATGTAAAATTTGAGGCACTATAAATCTTTTGTGTATGTGTGCATGCGTGAATGCCACAGCTGCACAGCGACAACAAACGACCACACACGATCGCCACTTTAAAACAGGCAATCAAATTGTGACAACGTATGTAATTTTGAGTCCTACTCTTTCCATGTACAGAGTACAAGCCCATAATAATGGCCCCTAAAGTAGATAAACTTCGTTGTGTGAAGAGAAAGAAGAACACATTGAAATTGAGTGACAAACTTGAAATAATTAAGAAACTAGAATGTAATGTGAGCAATGCTGTTCTTATGGAAACATACAACTTTGGAAAGTCTACAATTTATGATATAAAAAAAGGCAAAGAATAAAATTCTAGAATTCACAGCTTCTTCTGAGCCTTACATTAAAATTGCTGAAAGAAAAAGTTTACATTGGCCCAAATTAGAAAATCTTGATAAAGTGTTGCACGAATGGTTTTTGTTAAAACGATCAGAAGGTATGGCAATTTCTGGGCCGATGCTTATTGCCAAAGCAAAGTCTTTTAAGGAGCAAATGAACATTGAATCAGAGTGCGCATTTAGTGATGGATGGCTTAGGAATTTCAAGACTCGTCATGGTATTAGATACAGTTGTACCCCACTTAACGCGGTCAATTGAACCCAGAGGGTCCCGCGTTAAGTGAACAACAGAACATATGGGATTAATTCCAATAGAAACCAGCCCGACCCCCAAACTCCACTTTTTGACGACACATAACTATGTTGTAGTAAAAATTCTATCTTAACTTTATGATGGTATGAAAAAACAAGTAATATAGAAGAGGTTAGGTTAGGAAAGATAAAGGTTAACATAGGAAAAATGAAGGTTACCTTAGAGAAACTAAAAGTTAGGTGGAACACTTACGGTAGTAGAAGAGATGGGTCGGCATACGGGGATGGAGGCTGGTTCCGAGGCAGAGGGCAGATTACTGGCCCTCAGGTGAATCACCATTACTAGGTGAATCAACATCACTGTCACTTACAGTTGTCAGGGCTTCCCTGACAAATCCCTCAAAGTCAACTTCACTTTCACTATCACTGGCTTGGGCTGGCTGTGGTGGGTTGCGGGCGAAGAACTCGGTTATGCTTTGCTGACGGCTGGCTTTGATGTTGTCATGATACACCGTGATGTACGGCTCCATAGCCTGCACCAGTCGGGTATGGAAGACTTCATAGCGTTCATCGTCATTGTCGCGGGAAAGGACGGACTTAATTTTTTCTGCAAACTCTATGGCACACTTAATATCACTATGACTTAAACTAGGTTCTTCGGAGAATGACGCACCTTCTTCCTCCTCTTCACTGGCGTGTTCTTCTTCCAACATCTCGTCGGCAGTCACTTCAGGATCTCTGATCACCTCCATGATGTCTTCGTTGGTGGTCTCGGAGAAGCCTTCAGCTGTAATACTGAGCGCAGCTTCTCTGGCAAGGTCCACTGCTACTGCAACAGTCTGAACCTGACCAGTCACAGGTTCACTCCTCCTCTCACCTGGTATGCCATGCAACACATGTCTCCATGCGTGACGAATCGTAGCAATAGTCAGCAGATCCCATGCCTCCACCAAGAAGTCTACAGCTTGTTTAACGTTAAACTTCTTCCAAAATTGTTTGACGAGAAGTTCTTGAGTCACCGCCTCTTGTTCCTTGTCCTCGTCGCTTTTGCTCTCGCTGTCGGTGTCACCCAGCTTACGCAACTCATCCTTGGTGTTGGTAGAGTCGTTCAGGAGCTTGAACTTCTTTGCAGAGTACGCAGCTTTCACATTGCAGATCAACTCCTGGTCCATGGGCTGGATTAATGACGTAGTGTTGGGAGGAAGGAAGACCACTTTTACGTTGGGGTGACGATCCATAAGTAGGGGCGAGTGTCCAGGTGCGTTGTCAAGGAGCAACAAAATATTGAATGGAACATTCTGTTGCTTGCATAATTTCTTCACGTCGGGAACAAAACAGTTGTCAAACCAGAAGAGGGACAGAGAAGAGGACATCCACGCCTTACGTGCGGTTAGCCAGTGGACATTAAGCTTGTTCATGTCCATATTCTTGTAGGCGTGCGGCTTGCGGGCTGTGTGAATCACCGATAACTTTGGTTTACAGGTACCGGAGGCATTGGTGGTAAACAGGACGGTGATGCGTTCCTTCTGCAACTTCCGACCCCTTACCTTGCTGGCAGACTGGACAACGAAGGTCTTGGAAGGTAACTTTTTCCAGAAAAGACCAGATTCGTCCATGTTAAACACCTGGTCGTCACTGTACTGTCCTTCCTCCATAATCTCACGTAAAAACGGAGGAAAATCTCTAGCCGCCACACGGTCAGCACTCGCTTCCTCACCACCAATGTTGATGTTGGTGATCTTGTTCCTCTTCTTAAACCTATGCAGCCAACCAGAGGAAGCATTGAAGGGTTTGGGCTCTGCAATTCCCAGTTTACGTGACACTGCTGCGTATAGCTCACGTGCGTACTCCTGCACTGAGCGCGTGTCCACCGCCATGTTGCGTCGCGCCTGACGCACCAAATAACTCACCAGCAAATTTTCCACTTTTGCCAGCACCCTGTTCTGGCAATACCTGATAGATGAAGCACCTGCAGACTTTGTGATTTTCATGTGCTCTTTGATCTTGGCTGCATCCTTCTTGATCGTACGAATCGTAGATTCGTTGACGCCATGCTGGCGCGCGAGATCAACTTGCCGTCTTCCTTTCTCCAAATCTTGAACAATTTGGTACTTCACCTCGTAGCTTAATGAACGTCGTATCTTCTTTGGCTTAGTGCCGCTGGGTCCAGGTAAGGAAAGGTCTCTCTCTGGGGGCGGTGGTGGTCCGGCGGAAGCCATTTTACGGAACAATGGATGCGCGTTTACACGGTGTGGCCTTGAGGGATCA